TATGTTTTTAATCAAATAATTTTTTCTTTTTCAAAATTTGACAATCGAATCAATAACGATGAAAAATCGATAAATTAATAATTAATAAGTCAATATCTTAATGATTCTATAAGAATTTAATATTTCTACAAATCGATAACCAATAAGATAACCCGATAAGTTTCTAAATATCGAACCAAACCAATCAATACGCAGCCACTTGACATCCTTACAGATCATATGATTTGAAATTATAATTTCAAATTTCAACTTTTCATTTGAAAAAAAAAGAAGAAGAGATTTAGTTATTTGGAGTCTAATACGTGATTTTAAAATTTTTAAAAGTAAAATTTAATTCATAAATTTATATTTTATAAAATAATTAAATAAAAATTAATCATTTTACAAGTTGCAAAAAGAAAAAAACTTATGTTTGGCATAAAGAGATTTGCAGATTTGAAATAATTATGCAAAAGAATAACTATTTAGTAAACAATTATGTCTAGTTACTACAATTAATGACTAATATTTATAAAATTATCCATATTTAAAAGTTTATAGTCACACGTACTTATTTATAGTTGATATACAATTTATTAATAAGATAGCTTTAAAATATTTCAATATCTTACTCAACTATTATTTATTTATTTTCACGACTTACATACTCTTAAAAAAAATATTCAAATTATATTCAAAACGTAAATCTTGATTTCATATCATAATAATTCCATTGTACAAATAATTCACTTTTTTCACTTTACACCTCCAAATCGTAAATCTAATCAAAATAGTCTTTTAAAACACTTTATCTTAGCCTTTTGGAGTTTAGTGCATGAAAAATGAGTATTTAGCTATTAAATAAGTATGATTAACTCTCCAAAACCCAACCACGTGTAATATTTTTTTCAACACGTGGCGTGATTATTTTTGTTGAAAAGGTGCCACGTACGTAGTTTTGCCATTCTTTTACGTTTTTATATTCAAAGTATGATTACGTAAACTAGTTTGAATACTTAATTGTCAGCTTCTCATTTCCTTAATTTAAGTCTTTTTTTAACTAAGAAAAAAACAACCTAAATAACAGGCATTTTGACTCTAAAAAGCTTGAAACCGTTAGAGTTCATTGAATAAAGAGCAAACCTATCCTTTTTTATAAAAAATATTTTGGTGTTTAACTTGTATTATATACATAAATTACTTTCGTATTTATATACTCAGTTTATATGAATTAGTTTTACTTTGACATGAAATTTAAGATAGAAAAAAAAGAGACTTTTTAAATTTATAATCTAAACTCTAAAATAAGTGATGTATATTTGAAATTTAATTATTGTCAAATTTACTAGTATGTTATTCTTTTCAGGATTGATTAAAAAAGAAAGTGAGTTATATAAATTGATAAAAAAAAAACTATCTTTCATTGTTCTTATTGCATAACTTGAACATTTCAACTAATGAAATAAATTCAGACCGCACAATACAAGCCTAATTCGAAAATGACGCACCCAACATAATTTTTTCCTAAATCCAAATATCCAACAGATAATAAAGCACTCTTTTCGATACACCACAGCTTGAGTTGTATCAATTACTTTTTATTGTTGTGGCTGAGGCCAAAATAAAGATTAACTCGACTAGTTTTATCATGTCAAATTATTTGACCGGCCCAAGAGTAATATGAGACTTCCTGGATTTGTATTTGTTGGGCTACAATAGTTATATTAACTTGGGCCAATCATGAGTTAATGAGGACAGAATTACAGCCCATGATTGGTCAGCCCACAAGATTGTATTTAACCTAAAAGAAACTACTATGTACGTACAAAAATGAGCTTAATTACTCTTGGCTACTCATTTACTTTTTTTAATCCATCAAACTTTGAAAGAGAGTTGTTAAATCTAAAAAGTTCTTTCTAGCTCGAAGAACTTGTTTGATTCTCCTTGTAATAAATATTGCTAAAAGATAAGAGGACGTATTAGTTAAAGTACTAAACGGAGATGATTTACTTGACTATGAGAAGATTTTAAGTGATACAGAAATTTTAAGCTTCAGTATCTTTTTAGATCAAATGAGTTTTTCTTCTGTGTTTCACTACTTCATATAGTAAATTTTAAGAATAACAAACATAAAAATCATATTAGTGATGTATAGCTACACTTTTACTATTTCCGGCTCTATAGCCAAATTATATTCGCTATGGAACATCTAACTTATATAAATCACGACGATTTGTATAAAATTGAAGAGATTTATGTATATGTTCTTTGTGTTAGGCTAGAGTGGCGAGCGAGATTGGGAGAGAGAGAGAGAGAGGGCAGCGAGTGGAAACAAGTGAATTGTATATGTATATTAGTTAGATAATTGTATACAAATAACTACTATGTATATGTATCTATTATTGTGTTTGTATATCTGCATGAAATTTGATTGTGCATACAATTGAATCGAGTTAAAACATTTGTATTTGCATATCAAATCTTTATCTATTTAGTTTTATACAAACACAAATTATACATTGTATTTTATGTAATTGGTGTTTGTCTAAAGCGAGGGAGAAAGAAATGCAAAAGAGAACTAGGCAGTGGAAGATTTGTATTTATATAATTATAAGTGTATAGGACGGAGAGGTATGCATTTGTATTTGGATATACAATCTCTTTTGCTTTGTACAAAACACAAATACAAATTATACATTTATGTTTGTATAAAGTGGGAGAGGACTGTTAAAAAAAAGAATGACGAGTGAGATTCTAGAGAGAGAGGCGAATGACAAGAAATTTGTTACGAATTGAAATGTAAATTAAGATATAGCTATAAAATTTATTTTGAATTAATAGTTTGCTCCATAATTTTCCTTTCTTTATTTGTTCCTTTTCTTCTATCTCACTTTTTTTGTTTTTTTTAATTTTTTCCTCATAATTTAATTATTTTTTTAACCATATTTGATTCCATACATATTTTTTGCGCTATTTTTTACTCCTATTTCTTTTTATTTTTGAATTTTATTTAACTTTTTTTTCTCTTCATAATCTAATTTCATTTATTTTTGATTTTGCTCCTTTCTTATTGTACTTTTTTTCTATACCTTAAAGAAGATAATCAATATAATAAATATTCATCTGAATTGTGGTGTATTGGTGAGACTATTTCATCTTTAATTAAAAATTTTGCTTTCGGACTATGAATATGGAGAAAATCATATTGAACGTGCCACCCATAAAAAAGGGATGATCACCCATGACTTCTGTGGCACACTGGTGCCACAAAGGCCTTTGATGGTCTTATTGGCGCAGTGCACAATCTAGATTTAGCCAGGACTTCAATGTAGGCTCTGGACATTAAGTGAAAAACAAAAAAAAAGATATAACAAACATTCGTTCAACTTTTATTTTTTTATATCAATTATTAGAAATAACTTATACATTCAGTTGTTTTCTCTCTTTTTTCTCCTTTTCTAATTTCACTTATATTCTTAAAGATTTTTTTCCTTGGTTTTTATCATGCCCAATTCTACACACCTATTTGCTGCTGCTTCTTTCTTCCTTTTTTTTTTTTTTTTTGAGTTTCTTCTCTATGTCAATAAAAAGATAGCTGATATATATGTCATATATCTTATTTACTTTATTCTTTTTTAATATTAATCATCATAAAATATCTAATTTTATCAAATGGTATACCAGAAATAATATATCAATTGCAACTGCAACAATTTCAGGAAGTCATAGGGGATTGATTCCTTTTTTTTTTTAATGCTCCTTAATTTCTACTATATAGACACATGACATATATCATCTACTAACAAAGATACTATACATTCAAATAATATATTAAATCTTTTATGATACATGGTATCATAGAGATCTGATTCATTTCTTAAAGAAACACACTCAATACTCAATGACATTCACATGATATATATATATATATCATACACTAATAAAAATTTCATAGAACATTAATTCATTCCTTCAAGAAGAAAAAAAAAACTACTCTTTATGATATATCTCTCACATGATATATATACACTATGTATTTATTAAATACTAATATAGGACTAATTCAATTCTCTCAGAAACACACTCAATCCTCTAAAATTTTCACATGATATATATATCATACACGAAAATCATATAGAACATTCTGCATCCAAAACTAGAATACATATATATATATATATAAGTCGAACTTTCTTAATGAAATTTAAGACTTTTAAAGATGGATCGCATTTATAAAGGATTTGAATCAATAAAATAGTACTCTAATGGTAATTAATTCACAGATCTTGACCATCAACCATGTAAATCATTACAAACAAATCAAACACGACCCAAAAAAAAAAATATGCAAAATAAAAAAGAAGCTGAAGCCTTCTTCAGTTTCTACAACAACATCCACTCACACTCAAACATAACCAAACTAAACTCAATCCAAAATGAGTTAAATCAGTTGATAGTCAGGCTAAGTTGCGCGGACTCTTCACTTTCAATGCCACACCCGTGTTGGATTCTCCAAAAATACACTACTTTTAGCGAATCCAACACGCACCCCTTGACATTTTTGAAGAGTCCGAGCAACATAGTAGTCAGGTCACCTAAGATTTTGTTTGAATCATTGTTATCCATTGTTTCATAATGTATTGTATTGTACTCTAATGTATTGTATTGTATGATAGACTGTATTGTTTGTTATTGTTCAATAACATTTTAATTATTTGATTTGACTGTATAATAATGTAAAGTAATTTATAAATTAATTATAATATCCTTAATTATTCAAGACTAGATTTAAATAACTAAGGTAAAGGGTAAGATTTTTTAAATATTATATAAAGATATAATTGGAAAAAAAGAAATTCAGTAATAATGGAAACACACCAAATCGGTTGTTCCATAAAATAGGTGTTTTCATTGTTACGTAACAACTAAATTAAATAATAAAATACAATAAAATTTTAAGTAACAATCAAAACAAGCATTGTAGGTATAGCAACGATACAATACAATACAATGGGTAACAATGATCGAAATCTAGTGTAAGTGATAACTAAAATATTAACTAGTTTTCCAAAAAACAAAAATTAGTTATCGGTTATAATTCATAAAAAAAAACACATTAATAATATAAAAATTAACCGTTTTAATCAAATAAATCGATTTCAAGTACTAAAACAGCACACAAGAAGACGAAGAAGAAGAAGAAAGAGAATGAGATGCAACTTCAGTTTCCACCTCTCTTCTGTGGAAATTGCGGTGACAGCCACAAGCAGCGCAAATGAATGCGCTGCTTGTACCTTCTTCACCACTTGGCATAAACTCTCTGCAACCATCTACTGCATGTCCTCCAACACGCGCCGCGTGATTCTTCTGGCACTCTTTGTATCTCACGATCCTTACTGTAAAGGCTGAGTTCGTTGAGCTTTCTGATGTCACTGACTCATCGTCTTGATTCTCAAACAGTTGAATTTTTCTCATTTTTAAACTATGATAGATAGATAAGTTTTTTAGATATAAATAAAATGACTAATGGAATATGAGTGGGAGAAGATATTTTTGGGGGATTTGGAGAAACTAAATCTTGTGCTAATATATAGCTATTATATATATAATAATAGAGGTAGTGTTCTTTTAACAAACCCTAACCCTAGCTAGAAGACATGTTTTTACACCTCACTGCTAGATAGAAAGTAAAAAGAATTAAATTCTGAAATATATATGAACTTTGAACGAAATTAGTGTAATAATTTTAAACTTTGGGCAGGACGTATTGTCGTTCATTATTTCATAGTGTATATTCAAGATATATAAGTGTCCAGTTGGACAAGTTACTATTTATAATGATACAATATTTATGATGTTCATGTGATCACTTGCATATCTTTAAAATACATTATTAAACAGTGCAACGTAATAGATTCTGTCCAAAGTTTGAAATTGTTTCAGTAATTTCAGTTAAAGTATGAATATATTTCAAACTTTTTTCCCGAAGTAAAATCACATCTATTATTTGTAGAGCGTAAGTTTATATATTGATAGACCCAATAGTATAAAAAATAGTGTCACAATCAAAAAACTTAAGTAATGAGTGTGAGTGTTTGGTATGAAAGGAAAATGTTTTACCAGAAATGAAAGATATTTTCTTTATTTTTTGGTGTTTGATTTGTAAACACAAAATATTATTATAAAAAATATTTACATATAATCTAGAAAAATATTTTAGATGTAAACACAGAGATGGGATTATGGCGTATAGGGGTGTGTTAAAATATTATTTCTCCAACACATAATAAAAAGTCATTTTCCGTATTTTTAAGAAACGGTAAAAAATATTCCTTCTTGGCATTTTTATAACTTTGACCATTCAGCACTCATTTCCTTTTCTTTTCTTTTCAATAGTGGATAACTATTTTATGATTCATGTTATTGGGGTCTTTTCTTGGTAAATTTCTCTATAATGGGTCGTTATGAATTGATTGCTCAACATCTAATTTCAATCACGTACTTACCAAGTTTATTGCTTGGCTTAAAAATAGATTTGTCCTTCATTTTCTTTTATAGATAAAAAGATCTTAATAAATCATTTTTCAGTTAATTAATTACCCTCCAACATGACTAATTGGTTTCTAATTATAGATAACCAGCTAAACTTTGCCTCCTTATCAGCCAAATTTAACTACGTGGTCTTCAAAACTCCAATTTTAAGATCGTGAATTTGAATCATCAAGAAACTTAAATGAAGATCGATGAATTATACTATGAAAGGGGTAAAAAGGAGTAGTAGTAAAATTAAGTTCACTTGTATTGCTAGCCCAATAGTACCAAAAATATATTGCAGTCGATAACTAACCTACTAAAAATGTACGGACAGAACATTTTAATTTAATAATGTTATGCCACATATATTATAATGTCTTACACAATTTTGGGTTATGTCTGATCAAAAGTAATGCATGCATGGAATTTCTCAGGTTAAAGACATTAGATATATATCCAACATTTAATAAATGCACATATACTGGATTGTGATTCGTGGTGCGGTGTGGTGAAATTACTTCATTCTTAATTAGAAGTCTTGAATTTGAGTCCCGGGGTTCGAACTTAAAACTCCTTCACTTAAATGGACACTTATTACCACTACACCGAAAGCATAGTTTTTTGCCAATTAGATGTCCAACTTTAAATATATATATATATCCCATGTAGAATTTGACATATATATACATCGTAAAAATTTTCACAAAAAATGTCCAATTGAATACTCTGGGATAGCTCTAGCTATGCCCCTGATCCTGGATATGGAAAAAATATTATTGGGAGCGCCACCCCTGAACAGGCCTACGCACTCTGCGAGGCCTGTTCAGAAATATATAGTACTATAGGTTAAGTTAAAAAGCAATAGGTGAACTAGTCGAATAAGCTCTAAATCCTTTTATGTAATGGGGAGGCCTAGCTAGATATTTTCAATTAGCACCCACAGTTAATCACAAACACTTAAAACTGGTATTATTCCTAATTCTCCAATACTTAATTCTAAACCATAATCAACATTTTGTCTGGACTAATAAGGTAATCCTTAAAGGCTGAAGCAACAATATTTGTCTCTTTTTCTTAATGGCCATTTTTAGGTGTCTGCAGTGATACGTAATTAATAATTGGTTCCAAGTATTCTCCAATCATCTAAATATCCGAAACAATAAAAAATAATTTTTAATGACAATAAATATACATATTGACAAAAAGTGTTATAAGAAGTATTAGTTAATTGTTATTAGATTTAGTGTCACCATAGGCTTTAGAAACATTTATAAAGAATGTTATTTATCGCTAAGAATACATATATTACGGCAATTAAGCTATTACTATTAATTAACTACTGCTAAAAATTATTTTTGATGTAGTGGACTCTTTTTTTGTCATAGATATATATACTCCCGTCCATTTAAATTTATTTTTTCTAATTTTAAATTGAAAAAGAGTTTAAGAAAAAAAATTGGTCTTGATTTATAAGAGACATAGAATGTATCAAATTAACATAATTTTGATGTCATAAAACATGTCAGGTGAAAATTAAATTCAAAAATTTTGTATAGTAGTTTGTTTGATTCCACGAACTAATATTATATTCGGAAAAGGGTGAAAAAATTATACCTTACTTATGGTATAAAGGTTCACAAATAAGTGAATAACCGTATCTACCAATTGCTTAGTTTTTTGGTTAAAGAATATCAATCAAATTAATATTCTAAATCTGATGATATTTTCTTATTTCAAGAGTTTTATATAACATATATTCTTATGATTAATCACATATAGACTATAGTATTATTTAATATATATTCAAATCTATTCATTTTTAAACTCAAACCCGCTAACCTATTTTATGATTTTATCTGACCCTGTTTTTTTAGTTTGAAGAGATATTTTTCTGGGAAAAAAATATTTATATTAAAAGATATTTTTGAAACTAATAAATAAATGAAGGGTATTTGTAGGTTATTTTCTATAGAATATTTTTGTACCTATTCTTTTGGACAGAAGAGGAATTATTAGAAAATTCTACTAATTTTTTTAAAGAAGATATTTTTAGCAACTTCTCAACTGAAAAGAATAATAAAATACTGTTTTTGCTTTTTTTAAGAAAGCAATTTTATAGATTCAAATTTCTAAAAAAGATTATTTTTTTTCAAATAAAGGTATTTTTTTCTCTATCAAAATAACCGTATGGTTAGAGATAATTTCTCATAAATATAAAAGTTTATCTTTAATTCAAATCCTTTAACTTCTCTCATCTGCCTAAGTCGGGTAAAACATTATCTAGGGTAAAACATTGACTCACGTGAATTTATGATTTTTTTGTTAAATTAGATATTTATAATAATATTATTTAGAATTGCCATAATATATAATTAGTTTATACATATGTTATAAGAATGTTAAATGGTGCTTTAAAATAATCTAGATTACGTTTTAAACAGTTAGATGCGGTTGAATTTGAAAGTGGAAATAGATATATAGTTATCTTTATTAGAAAATGCTTTAACCTTAATATGAGATTTTTCTACAAAAATTTATATTTAGTTAGATTTTAATATAAATATCAAATATCGAAGGATAAAAAAAAAAAGTTAAAGTGGAAATGTCGACATTAGTTGTTCTATCTTCGAACTTAATCAACACCAACTATTTGAATATGGGGTCCTCATGGTTAGTTTAATCCCATTATCTTCAAATATATATTGTAATAATTAATTCCATTAAATGGACCCTATCTTTTAAAGAGGCTGTTAACTACTACTCTATAACACTAGATCATGCATAATATAGTGTAGAGTTAAAAAATTTCTTCGAAATTTAATTTTTACCCTTTTCATTACAAAATTGAACTAAAAGAAATTAATAAAAATTTATGTTAATCTTTGCTAGAAGCATCATTACCTGCTTTGATATTGTTTAATTTGTTACGATCTTAATTTGGACAAGAAAGCCTTTTTTTTTCTTTCTTGTCAGTAAATTTAATTGTTTCTTTTAAAGTCAAATGTTTTCTTCTAAGTTAATTTTGAATTCCTAAAAAGTAACACTACAATATCAATAACATATTGTTATCACATAAACTGTGATATGGAGAAGGTAAAATATACACAGATCTTATCTTTACTTTGAAAGTAAAGAGATTGTTTTTAATATGTCCTTTACTGGAAAGAACAGTTCAGAGCAAAAATGAAAATTAATGCAAAAATCATGACAAAATACTATGAAAAGCATAACAAATCATTTTCAAATAATTACACCAAAATAATACAATAATGGATGTATAAAAAATAGCAAATAGTAACAGAAATCGAAGGACTATGAGAGAAATGCTACTCCATATAAATATTAGCAAGACAATGCTTGCTACTCCACTTTCTATCTTAATTTGTCTCCTCCAATCTTCCTATTTACGGATATCTCCTCAATAAGTTAAAATTTTGTCCTCTACTCGATAAGATAAAACTATGTCATGTCTTGTATAATTAACTCGATCTCTCGAATACTGTTTCAACCTACACCTATGCCTCTTTTAAAATCACCAATAGTCAGTCTCTCACACCTACACATTAAGACATCTATACATATCCTCCTAATTAAGGTCTAACAAACTCAAAATTATTGAACAAATGAATACATATCAATGGATCGATAATGAGAAAACTGATACTAATCAATGCAAGTAATCTTAATTATAATAATGATTCATGATAATGAGCACACTAGTTAAGTAAACTAAAAATGTGTAAGTAATGTAGTTTGTAAATAGTAATGATGATGAGTAATTTTGAGTTTGTTAGGTACTTAATTAAAGATAAACATGATTATGCTTCTAAGAGGGATAATGAATTATGACTAATTTTTGTAGGGTTTTTGACCTACACTACACATGTTGTTGACGCCCACCACAGAGAAAATCGTTTCTCACTTTTGTGATTAGTTAGCTTTTTTTGTGGTAACCATTGACTAATAAAGCATCTTAAGGCTCCTAATTATACTTGCATTTTTCTCTATAATCAAGTTAATTAATAAGACAATTAAGAATAATTAACTTTATTTTAATTCATCATTTGACCAAACAAACAAATTGTTTTCTCAAATGAGAAGACTGATCAGCATTATTGATTATGACTTAAAAGTTAAATGCTTTCCTTTCTCCTTTGGTCCCATGAATGATCACAAACTTAACCTGATTATATGTAGTAGCGAAATCGACATTACATGGCATAATTTGTCTTTTAAACGGGTTGATCTTTAATTTTTGTCCCGAGAAATTGAACTTATATCTAGCGGAACATAAATTATTTAAAGGCGCGAAGCATAACTTATGGAATGTGATGGGCCAAAAATGCAATAACCCCAAAATTTAGTAGGAAAAATGACAGAAATTCCACCATTAAGTTTTCTTATTACCATTATCCCCTATTAGTTTTACAAATTCCTAAAATCCCTCATTTTCACGCATCAGATTAATGTATCAGCGCCATCAAATTAATGTATCATCGCATCAAATTGATGTATCTCGCGCATCATATTATTGTATCTCGCGTAATAGATTAATATATCTCGCGCATCAGATTAATGTAT